GATTGCTGCTTCCTGGTCAGCACATCATTCCATGTCTTGTACTGGGACTGCTGTCTCAGTTTAGCAGATATTCCTGTCAGTCCTACCTGGTCTGACTAAATTTCCAAGACAAGGTTGGTTGATGGGTAGTTTCTTCTGAAGGTTCCTTCTGGACTTCTCTTCCCTCCTCTCTCACACACTTTTTGAATGGTATGCTTGATAACTGTATTTACTTTCCTTAGATTATACTAATCATTTGGACTAGAGCCCGAGTTAATTTAATTTCTGTATCTCTACCACCTAGTATAACACCCCATGCAGGCCCATGTCATTGTTCTGTGGGTAGATCATACATGTGTTCTATGCGTGCATACATGTGTAGGTCTTGGAAGACTGTAAAAAATTCAACAATTTCAGTATGTTTTTACTTAGCACGGTCTGAGTGGCATTCTGAATTGCTGAAGTATTACTTTAAGTAGGTGAAATTGAGGTTATTTGGTCCTTAGTTACACAAAATCTACTTTTTAAATTCATTATAAGCTTAAACTTAACTGGAAGTTGGTATTTTTATCTGCTAAGTCTGTCAGTCCTGCTTCTCAAGCCATTTCAGCTTTAAATCCCATATGGAATCGGATGCGCTGGCAGCTATGGCTTGGAGTATTTGTGGCACTTTGTTTAGTGACTAATTCCTCCTTTATCCTTCTACCGTGAAAAGGAAAGCACAGAGCCCTTTACCGTTTGGAATCAAGGGCACAGAGCTCTTCTGAGCAGCCAGGGAATGAGACTGAGAGACACTGGTGCCAATTTGGGGCGTTGTGAAGAGAGAGGGTCACTGCTGTGTTGTTCACTGTCACTCCCCCTCTGGTGGCTTTTTTCTTTCCATTAGCTTGTGACCAATTCTGTAAGAGCTGTGGCCCCAGTAGTCCCAGATGTCTTACCTGCACTGAGAAGACAATGTTGTATGACGGGAAATGCATTTCTGAGTGCCCTGATGGATACTATGCTGATGCCACCGGAAGATGCAAAGGTAGGAGGTGGGACATCACCACCATCATCATCACCGCCTCCTTCATTGTATTGAATGCATATTTGTCAGCGTTTGGTGCTACCTGCTCCTCACTGGTGATGGGTATATACAGGGAACGGGTTACGTTAAAGGGACAGCTTTCTCATAATAGAAACTATGTGTCTGGTATGGGAGAGGGGAGTATGGGAACAAGAGATATGAGTGGATTCCATAGGATGGGGTAAGTACGTGGAAGCCGTGTGCCTGTCAGTCATCTCCAGAGATCGTTTGCTCTGTTTGAAATATCCAGAAGATCTTTAAGATGCCCCACTCATGTGCTTGGGAACCATTGTTGTTCTGTGTCAGCAGTGGCAAAACCATCTCCTCCTGGCATTTATAAACCCATGCCAGCAGTGACAGAGCACAGCAACAATGCAGTAAAGAAGGACACTGAGTTTGATAGCCAATAAAGTCCACCTCCGCTAAAAATGTATTTAATGTGCAGTTTGTACAATGGTTCTTTTGTGTTGATAACCTCATGAGTCACTGCCTTCCGAGACTCTCTCGACTTCAGTTTACAGAGACTTGACCTTGGTCTTTTCCTCATAGGCACCAATGGATAAATTCTGCCCCACACAACTTGGTCGTCCTTCCGCTCTGAACTTACACTAAGTCAGTACTTCACTTCTGCCTCGTTGTCTTTTAGAGCAGGGCATTTGAGCTCGGCCATTGGCTTCTCCTGGTCACACTCCCTTTGTCTGCCAACCTCTTAATGTACCAAAGTTCATCACTTTTCCTCAGCCCCCAAAGTTCTCGTCCCATCCCCCAACTCCCCCTGCCCGACTCCTGACCATTATCCTCCAGAACTTTTTGCCTGTGTCTTGCTGCTGTCCTGAGAGGTTTTGAAGGCTCAGTCTGGGTCAAAGCAGTGTGTGTGTCGGGGGTCCCTAACATTGTCATACATACTAGTCAGACTCTTTTCTGCAATAATGTAACTCTTAGAAGCATAGATTGCCAAAGTTGGAGCTATGTTCAGTCACCATCTAACCAACCCTCTGGACCAGGACTGAACTAGACTTGGCCGAGAGGAATGCCAGGCCATGAACTGTCGCCTTTTCTTATTGTTCAGACAAGGAGGCTTAGATACCCACAACAACATCCCAGCATTGCTCCGAATGAGCTCTGTGATCTCGGGTTGAGAGAGAGAGAGAGAGAGAGAGAGAGAGAGAGCGCACATGATGTGTGTGGAGCTCAGAGGTTAGCCTCAGCTTTTCAGGAACTATATACGTTGATTTTTGATCCAAGTCACTGGCCTGAGGATTTGCTCACCCATTTGGCTCTGCTGCCTAGTGAGCACCAGCAATCTGCTCTCTCTTGTCCACTTCTCCACACTAGAGCCACAAATTGCATCGCCACACCCACTTCACCTTCTTTCCTTGGTTCTCTGGACCTGATGCTTGCACAGCACGTGTTTTACTAGCTGGGCTATCTTCCTAGTCATTGAGTGAAACGTTAACCTCCCAAGACCTCTGTTTCCCTAACCTTCAAATGTGGTTCGCAATGGCTGCTTCTAAATGTTGCTCTAGGACTAAGAAGGGCCATGGCGTATAAAGCACTTACTGCGAGCAGAGGGAGCTGACAAACAGGTAGAATATGAAGAAAGGATCGGTGTGGGGTGACGGGGACAGTGGCCATCTGCCAACATGTTTCCTCTTGGGTGTGGTTTATCACCGGGGAGGAAAACCATCCAGGGATTGTCCCTGCGGTGCCTGCAGCCTGCTGTGCTCCTCTCTCCACAGTTTGTCACGACTCGTGTGCCAGGTGCTCTGGACCTGCAGCTTCTCACTGTGTTGCCTGCATCCGTCCCCATGTTCTCCTTCAAGGTCATTGCCTGCCAAGCTGTGGAGAGGGCTTCTATCCCAACCACGGGGTCTGTGAAGGTACGGTTGGTATCACTATTATTCCTGCCCAGTCACAAGAACGTAGGTTGACTCCCCACTCCCAAATATTACCTTCCTGTACAACCTTTCCTCTCGTGTATCTTAAACGGCTACGAACACATCAGAGCCTGTGCCATTTCTCTCTGTTGTCACTTGGTCCCACAGCCCAAAATTCAACCGCTTGCTGATCAAAAATATAAAGGAGAAATTTCAGAAATCTTCCCAAAGCAAAGTTTCAACCCACTCCATGTACATGATATGTGTGGATGTCGTGTTAAGTACTTACTGAATCTGAGATCAGATTTATATGTGGACAGCTGTAGGCTATATGCAAATGCCAGGCCAATTTATAAAGGAGATTTTGATACCTGTGGAAATCCCAGAATCCAGTCCTCTGGAGGACATGGTGGCTAACCTGCATCTGCTGTCTTCTTTCTTTTTATCGTAATAGTTTTATAAAGAGATGATAATCTGAAACACAAACAGACATACACCAAGTCCATTCCAAAGTTCATGCATTTTTTTTGGCCATCCTTGCAGGGCATGTTATTTCTGTTAGCATGCATTGATTTTCTTCTTACTTCCCCCTTTTTATGCTTTCCTGGTATTGCTAATGTTTATAGACTTCATTTGCTTTTCCCCCAAGAACTTTTCGCTAATGATAGTGCGAGCCAACTGAGAGTCACTAGCGGTGCCTCTGGCTGAGCAAAATAGAAAATCTTAAATTGCTGTATGCCAAAAGGCTCTGGGCTCCTGGGGAGAGCGGCAGCATTTGAGCCGTGTGAACACAGAACATTGGGGGTGAGCCTTTAATTAAAAAATTTGTATTTGTTTGCACCTTAGAAAAGTGAAAATTGCAGAAGGAAAAATGATACCAAACTTCATTAAGTAACTGTTTGAAAGAAAGCATTTAGAGAATCTTTTAAAGGAACAGTGAGTTAATTATATCAATACTTGGGCACGAGAAAGTTTGCATACAGTATTGCCTTTGATTTTAAAGACTCCCGGCTTTGATTTTTAAGACTCCCCAGGGAAACAAAGCCCTGTTATAGACTGGGAAGTTTCGCTCACGCTCAAGGAGGCCCCTCCTTGCTTAGGAAGTCAGCTTTCTCCCCAGTAAATCCCAAGAAGACTCTGTTGCCTGGGCCTCTCCGTAGTGCATGATGGATGAGCGTAATGGTCAGTCACATAACGACCAGTTCTGCAAGGGGTAGAGTAACGGCCTTCGTACAAATGCGTCTGAAAATCTTCAATAAAAACCGAGGGCATGATGTTAAATGGTCGTTCAGTGAATGTGCTCCTCTGGAGAGCCAAGCAAATATTGTCCAGTTTGCTGGGTTTTATTGTCATCCTGCCTGACAGCCCTTCTAGGGGCTGAGAGATGAGACTCATTTTCCTATCCTCACTTTCCCTCTCACAGCAGTATCCCTAGCTCTGTGCTTTGTGTGGAACTCTAGAAGAATCCTCTTCTGCAAGGATATACCTCCTGAACTTGCTAAGTGGTTTTGACCTCAGGAGGGACCGACAGTGATTGAAACCCATACTTGGTCTTTAAGTTGCTTTCTGCCTGTTTTTCCAATTTGCAGCCTGCCATGCCTCCTGCCACACTTGTGTGGGCCCCGAGCCCTCTCACTGTATGGAGTGTAAGAAGCCAGAGGCAGGACTACGGGTGGAGCCGCACTCCGGGGCAAACGTCCCTTACGGCGAGTGTGTGCCCCAGTGTGGAACCCACTTCTACTTGGAGAGCAATGGACGGTGTGAAGGTAAGCTTGGTTGACAGACATAAGGGCTAGATGGCTTACCATTTAAAGATCCTACGAAGTGGACCTGCAGCCAGGGAGATCTTGGACTTCCTGTGAACAGGCTTCTAGATGTTTGTGGTGAATCAGGAGGCCCGCATGCAAGAGTGACCGTTCTCATCTCCTCTGCCCTGTGAATCATGGATGATCTTAAGAGCCCTAAGTCCCGCTCTCAGAAGACCCTGCAGGAAATTCCTTCAGAGCCCTGTGTAGCTAGCTAAGAAAGACTCCACTCTCATTTATTAGTGTTTTTGCTTTTTTTAATTGGAACTCAAATCGAAATTTTTCTCTTTAGGGCAAAATTCAAATGGAAGTTGAGATTTTGAGGTTGTTCATTTTGCCACCTTGTCATATTATCCACAGAGGGTTGATGGCATCCTAAACACCAGCTCAGTAGCCAGGTCACCAGTGAGAGAGTCAGACGGTGAAAGGCATGGCTTCCAGAGGTTGAGGGGTGGGGGCTTCTTTTCCAATATGGCAAGAAGCTGCTGTGTCTTTATAGGAATTGCTTGCTTTGTGCGACTGAAAATGGTAATCCACAGCGTCTTGTAGTTAGTCTTGTAAAGGATGTTTCGGTGTCAGGAAGAATAGAAACATGGCTTCCTTCTGCCCTAAACACCATAGCTTTTAGCATTTTGCCGTGGTACGCTGAGTCTTTTGTTCTTTTGTCGGCTTTAAGGGTTTCATTGTCACTGTAAGCACGCTTCAGAGTTGGCCTTGTTCCCACCAACTTACATTGGTTTCAGCATCAGATTTGAATGAATGCTCAAAGAAAATCATGGATTGAAAGTTAGGGTGAATATTTCAGGCGTCTAAATCCACAAACTTCTGGCTGTGCCTGATATCCAGACCCTTGATCTCTCTGAGCTCTGCGTTCACAGCATTAGAATTCTAATTCCACAAAGCCAGTGTGCCAGGTTGGAAGAAGTTCTGGAATGTATAGTTCCTGAAAAATTTGAAGTTCCCTTGCTGAATTGTTCATGTACTCGGGTGTTCAGATCCATTACATTACAGGTTTGAGCTCTTGCTTCTGGGAAGATGCAGAGTTTAGAGGTTTACATGGGGCCCAGAAACTTCTCCGTTCTTCATAAGTCCTGATGTCTATCCAGGGTGTGTGTGTGTGTGTGTGTGTGTGTGTGTGTGTGTGTGTGTATTACATGCATTGCCCAAGCTCTGTAGTCTCCAAAATCTATTGCTCCATTTCCATAACCACTTGTGGAATACAGGAATCATTGCCGATATAGTGAGTCCTGATGCCATCCCAGGACATATGTAACACAGCCTTCTTCATGTGACTTGGTTCCTTCTAGGTCCTATGATGGAGAGTGATGTGTCCACTTTATTAGGGACCAACTGACCTTAGGGTTGGGGTGAAGGAACACTCTGTTCTCATGTTCAGTGATTTTAGGTTCACTGCATGAACTTCTATTGAGCAGCACTATTCCTCAGGGCACCTGAACAAGCATCTACTCTGCCCAGATTGGAAACTGACAATAAAAACCAAAGGAAAGACATCACCAAAGTCCTGCTTGTTGAACCAGCGCATTGTTTTTAGGTTACTTGCAGGAGTATGGGTGAAGGGCTAGGGATTACTCAAAGGCAGCTGCATCACCAAAAGCACCTCCACCCCTCTCCTAGCATGGGTGATGAACAGAACCCTGGAGTTCATTGCAATACTTGTAAGCAGCTTCACAAGCTGGAGAGACTGCCTTTCCTAGACAGTTTCTGCTTTGTTCGTGCAGCTCAGATGGCCTACTCCTTTCCAGGCAACTCATGTGATCTCAGACTACCTATCAGCAGTTCTTACTGCTTCCAGAAGTATAGAGAAGGAGGGACCTAATGCATGTGGTCAGTTTCAGGAACTTCCTGAAGCTTCTGAGTGTTTGCTTTCTGAGGTTGCAAGGAGCCTCCCTTTAGAACAATGGCTTTTAATGCTCCTCAATACTGTGGCCCTTTAGCTCAGTTTCTCATGTTGTGGTGACCCTCAACCACAAAATTATTTTCATTGCTACTTCATAGCTGTAATTTTGCTACTGTTATGAATCATAATGTAAATATTGGTGTTTTTCCAATGTCTTAGGTGATCCCTGTGAAAGGGTTGTTCAACCCCCAAAGGGTTGGAGGCCCACAGGTTAAGAACTATTTCTTTGGAACAATGTGAGTGCCAATGGACTTCCCTAGTGTAGGGAGTGTTCTCCCTTTATGACATCCTGAGTGTTACCTAGCTGCTTTCCAAGATAGAGCATAGCAACTCAGAGGAAATTGCTTTGCAAAAGCTTCCTTATGGTTCTTGTTTTGTAGGAAACTCCCAGCACCCTAAGAAACATTAAGTATAATGCATAGCCTTTCTTGATGGGAAAGTGCAGAAAGAAAACAGAAGGAAACAGTAGAAACAGAAAAACATGTCTTCCTTCTTTCCTCTTCCTCCTTCTCCCTTCTCCTCTCTCTCTTCTCCTTCTCTCCCCGCCATCTTTACAGAAAGGTTTTGTGATGTGTTGGGATCTGAGAAACTGGTCTGTGTGGTTCCACATGTCCAGCTGTGGACCCTGTGTGCTGAGATCTGCATGGAAAAGGAACAGACCTCCGTGAACACAGGTCTTTCCCAGTGCAGATGCTGTGATAGGTTCTTGGTTTTCCTGGGGGTTGTGTAGATGCTGGACCGGCCCAGTTCACCCTGCCAAGAGACTTTGATTTTTTTCCTCATGGGTCCCATGATCCCAGGAGAAACTAGGACAGGAAGAAAAGTCTAGTCTGTGCACAATTATCACCTCATAGTTTTGAGCATTCTTATTGAAAATAAAATGCAGAATTTGGAGTGAGTTCAAAAGGCAAAGCAAAATGATCAACATTTTTGAGAATTAGAATTTTAAGCAAACAAAAATTATGTTTAGTGCTGTTATTTGGCTGGGAAAACAATAATTGCACCATTAGAAATTGCTTTTCTTCATCATCCTAACACTAGCATTTGGGGGCAGGTGAGAGAGCTGTTTGCTAGGAGAAGAAACCAAGGCTTAGGGAAGTTCCAGGTTGTGACTTACCCCAAATCACACTGACTGCATGGAGTGTGGGTGGGTGGAGCCTGAGTCAGGGGACTCCAGTGTCTGTACTTTAACCACTGGGCCACCTATCTTATTTGATGTGTGCAATTTCTGTCTTCCCTTTCTACACAGCACAGGGTAACGTAGCACACTGATGTAGAAGTTGGGTATTCTTCCCTTTGAAAAGGCATCCTTGGCAAAGAAAAGTGTCCCAGGACCCCTGTTATATATGCATCTTTTAGAAAAGATTAGACTCCAATTCCTCTGAGATGGCTTAATTGTGGTCAGATATAGAAAGACTGCCGTGACCTCTTGAGTCTCTGGTAGCCCATGATTGTGTGCTTGTTAACGTAATAAGATTAGGTATCCTGCACACGCTGTCTGCTCACATTATGATCAAATCCCTGTGCAGTCTCCACCAGGTAGGCTGCTGTGCTCAATTTGTACGTGACAAGAATGTGGCAGAAAGAGGTTAATGGAGTTGCCCAGGATTCCGCCGGGAAACCGAGTGCGACTACCCATTGTTTCCAGCCCTACCTGGGTACCAAGTGAGCTGACAGGTGTGTGTCCTGTCTCTCATCCTGCAACTTTGCAAACCTTCCCACGATCTGCTCCATTTTCATTGTTGCCGAAGCAGTGTCTATAAAATCCAGCCTGGGAGTTCTGTGAGGTTGGATGGGTCTCTACTTCCCACAGCTTCTCAGGTAGGGCACCTTCACTCACGAGTGCTTTTCTATAAAGAAGAGAAAAACACCTAGTTTCTGGAACTCTCTCTCCTTCTTTTCTTGGAGACTGCAGCATGGGGTAATCAGTTAATGAAAGAGGGAAACAGAGGCATTATACAAAGAAGGAATTTACTCAGAGGCTTCTGATGTGTTGGGAGTTATCACAAAAATTAGTACAAGATGAAGCAACCTGGCTCAATATCCTTGAATAGAATCCTAGTCTGTTTTTGAGTAGATGATTGTGTGTGTGTGTGTGTGTGTGTGTGTGTGTGTGTGTGTGTGTGTGAATTAACAAACACTGAACAAAGAAAACCCACCTTCCCAGAAACACTCTTCGCTAATTTATTCCTTACAGCAGTGTTGACTGAGTGTCTGTCCCTTTTGGGTGCCATACAGTTCTAAACTCGAGAGATGTCCTTGCCAATGAGTCAAGTCAAACTTCCTATTTTGTGCAAAGCCTTCTCCCAAGAGAAACATTGAATGAATTAATTAATGGATGGATGGATGGATGGATGGATGGATGGATGGATGAACGGCAATAATAGCTGATTCTGTTGTATACTTTTGGATGGTTATCCATGCTATCAGGTTCTTGGCAAGACCGTGGTTGAGAAATGCACTCAGGTGGCTCAGCAGCAGAAGGTTTCTGAAGAGATGGAACTAACTGTTCCTGTGTGCTTCCCCTGTAATTTTGACTGATGCTGAACAGAAGATGGACTGATCAGAAGAGAGAACTTTCAATAGTGCTCCCCAGTGTAGATAGAAAGGCTGCTACAAAAGAGAGTCTGTTGGTGTGGGATTCCCCTCTGGATGCTATGATTATCATTGATTAATAATAATAATTTTAAAAAACTACTTTGGGCTATAGCAGGGCAGAACAGAGCTAGGCAGAGGGAAAGCTAAACTGAATTCTGGGAGAAAGAAGGCGGAGTCAGGAGACGCCATGTACCCACCAGAGGGGAAAGACATGAACTGCCAGCTGGAACCTTGCTGGTAGGCCACAAATCTCATAGTAAAATATAAAATAATGGAAATGGGTTAATTCTAGATGTAAGAGCTAGCTAACAATACGCTTAAGCTATTGGCCAAACAGTATTGCAAATAATATAGTTTCTGTGTGGTTATTTCGGGAGTCTGGGTGACTGGAAAACAAGTGAACTCCAACAGTGGTCTGTTACTAATTGTGAAAGATGTTTTGGAAGCATTTGTAGTGGTCAACCAAAATTGTGCATTTGAACTAAATAGCACCATTTAGGATTAGTGAAAAGAAGGGTCCAGAGTTATCTCACATGTTCAACTGAGTGTCCGCCAGTACTGCCAGAATGAAGTTTTTTAAGAAAGAAAGTGGGTAATAGAAAAAAAAAATCCATACTCACCCTCCCCAAGAAAACTAAACAATTTCACATCTGAAACATCACTGAAGCATCTCAACTTTGGTATCCTTCTTTCCCTCTGGTTTCCCAGGTCTCAGTTAGTTAGTCCTTGATGCCATGGAGTCTTGGAAGGAACCAACTAAGCGTTAAGCAGTGGTGTTCAATGAGTTCCCGTAGAAGATGTAGTTTCTTAGAAAGAAGTCCTTTTCTTCCAACAGTGCGAATCTCTTGCTCTTTGTGCTTCAGTAGGGCCGTAGGGTTTAAGGCCAGGTCATCCGACTAGCAATGCAGCACAGCCACCGTTGAACAGCGCGCTCCTGGTGATGAGACGGGCTGTGAATATGGCACAGGTGATTAGATTAGCCGTGTAATTGCCCAATTCCATGGCAGACTAACAATGCATTCTTTCAGTTTCCGCATGTTGCCCCAGGAGGATTAAAGTTGACACTGTTTTTGAAGAAATTACCAATTTTATTTTTACAGTGGAACTTTGTTTTTATACTGTTAGACAACTTGTCTCCAAGGAGATACATTCTCCAGGGTGCTTAGATTGTGAGTGCCCCTGTCCCCTCCTTACACTAGCTGAAGGCTATCTATGTTCACGCTGGTGATGGGATTTTCAGCCTCTTCAGTCTAGTGAGCCTTCTTTTTTAGTACCTAACTTAGCCCAGCTTCTTCGACGAAGTCCTACCTACTGCAGTGAAAAACTGCAGATGACTGAGTTTGGTCTCGTCTTATTTCTTAAAGATAAATTCCCTCGTTGTTTTGGTTATTAATTAACTTGCTTTAGATGAACAGGATGAAATACAGCATTTCGTGTGTGTTTTGATCTATTTTGTTGTTGCTAGGACTCACCAAGGGCCTCTAGGCGGAGTTTTAATTAAAGAAATAGATGGGCAGGAATCTGCCTGCACCACTCGCGAATCTGTGCCTGTTTATGAAGTTGGAATCCCTTTCCAGTAATTGAATAAAACGTATGGAATCTATATTAAACAATTATCTTTAATATGGTCCCCAAGGTGCTGACAGAGCTACACAGATTCTTGCCTTCTGATAAGATTCTGTCCTGCTCACTTCCCCCTTCTCCCTTTTAGAGCCTGCCTGTGCCAGGCTTTAGAAGAGAAAGATGAAAGATAGAGACCTTGCCCTAAGGCAAACCTACTCCAACAGGAGAAACTGATGTCTGAGCAAGTAATTAAAAGCACGTGGTGTGTGCTGAAGTCCAAGAAGGCACAAGGTGAAGCAGTGGCTTGAAAGACTTCGGCTCTTCCAGAGAGATGGTTGTGAGGACAGATAAAAGACAACTCTGAAGGATTAGTGGGTTCATCAGGAGGTGGGAAAGGCATTTGAGGGTAAAGGAACAGCGAGTGGCAAACCTGGGGTTTCTAGAGGATCCAGTAAGTCCTAGATTTCTACTGTGAAGGACCAAAGAGGGAACCCACAAGGATGATGCTGGTGAGGAGCAGTGGGGATGTCACTGCACAGTGCTCTGTGACCTCACTGCACGGTGCTCTGTGAATCACTGCAAAATGCTCTCTAACCTCACTGCACAGTGCTCTGTGACCTCACCACACAGTGCTCTGTGACCTCACTGCACAGTGCTCTGTGACCTCACTACTCAGTACCCTGTGACCTCACTGCACAGTGCTCTGTGACCTCACTACTCAGTACCCTGTGACCTCACTGCACAGTGCTCTACACTTACCAAAGAGACTGGAGCTAGCACTATTGTTGGCCAGACCTAGTGTATGGGAAATAACATGCTCACTTTTCACTTTATATTTTTCTACTCTCTTTGTGGCAGATTAATAGGGAATAACGAGGGGTTGACTGTAAGCCTGGGCCACTGGTCCTTGTTATGCATGATCTCGAAGGGCCTCACTAAAGGGTTCTGGGAATGGAAGTTCTGGCAGACTTGAAGAGTTGTAGGAAGTAAAGGCATCAGAAGTAGAAGTCTGGGGTCTTTTGTGTTCACATGTGAAAGCTGGAACGTGGTGGGCCGTGGTGACATGTATACTATGGCAGACTTCAGGCAGGGGAGTCACATGGGAGTGGCAGTGAGTAAGGAAGGGAGTTCCTGGAACCTGCCGTGATTGACAGTAAAAATAACTGACGTGTGTAAGAAAATACTGCATGTTCTATCTCATAAGGAAACGTGGGGGGACACACACGTATGTGTGCTTGTGTGTGTGGGTGTGCATGTGTGTGTCTGTGAGTACAGGCGTGAGAAGCTCCGGGAGGACTATCGATGGAGGAAGGGAGTCCTGTAAGAGGGGAGGGGTGATGGGATGGCTAGTGGAAGGTGAAGCTGAATGAGTAAAATAGAGTGATATATATGTATAAAATGCTGTGGTAAAACCCATTATTTTGAATACCCGCCAAATTTTCTTAAAAGAGAAAAGGAAGCGCATTAAGGCTGAGAAAAGTCATTTTTAAAGAAAGCAGTGGGCAAGGAGTATTTGGAAAGGAGGGATGTGAGATCCCCAGGAAAGGCCATGTGAGGATCCCCCGGAGGCAGTGGATTTATTGGAGTCCACGAAGGCCAGCTCTGTCCTCATAAATTCTAGACTCAGCAGCCCAGAGGTCAGGAAAGCTGTGTGCAGGTCTAGCAGAATGAGAGGAGCGAGGAGTGAGGGCAGAGGGTGGAATGTGGGGGCAGTTCTAATGTTTATGCAGAAAACCAAGAAAAAGGCCAAAGAATTGATCAGGGAGAATGAGAAACCGAATGTGATGTCAGCATCCCATCCACCTGTCCGCCCTTTACACACCTCCGACCCACCCACTTAGTCCGTGGAGTGTCGCTAATGGGATGTAGAACATGCTAAGGACAGGGTCCAGGACAGATATACAGGAATTGGAGGTGAAAGAGATTGATTGACCTTTACCCTTGAAAAGGGTCCTCTGTAGTTGGGGCAGGGTGGGGAACAAATGGAAGATGATAAATCCTATTAAATGTGGCTGGGGTTGAGATAAAGGAAAATAAAATTGATCTGAACTAAACTCCCATTTTCATTCTGCTTTGGTGTTCCTATGGTATATCCTAGAGGATTTTGAAATCTACATCATATTTTTGACAAATGTTTACTCAATATTTGCTTTTGACATGGACAGCCATGAGTTCTTACATTATGTGAAAGCCAGGATGCAGGACTACTTTTTTGTAACATTAAAAAGTAGCTATATCCATATCCAGAGAGAGCGCGTCTAAATTATATATCTCTATTGGGTCCCTCGCCTTGGAGATTGGGAAACCTTGCAGAAGAGAGGGAGGAAAATCATAGGAGTCAGAGCAGATGGAGAACACGGCCCTCTGAATCAACTAAGCAGGGCTCATATGGGCTCACAGAGACTGAGGCAGTAAGCACAGGGCCTGCGTGGGTCTGCAGCATGTCCCCTGCATACATGTAATGTGTGTTAGCTTGGTGAGACTCCTAACTGTGGGAGCAGGTGTGTTTCTGACTCTCTTGCCTGCTCTTGGGACTCTTTTCTTTTCCGTTGGGCTGCCTTTTCCCACATCTCCGTGAGAGCTTTTGCCCCATCTTTAGAACTTGTCTTGTCTTATTTTCTTGCTGTCTCTTGGAGGCCTGCTCTTTTCTGATGGGAGATGTAGTGGGGCATGAACCTAGGGGAGAGGAAATGGTGTGGGGAGGGGCGGGGCTGGAAGGAGTGGAACTGTGGTCTTGATGTACTGTGTGGGAGAAGAATCTGTTTTCAATTGTAAAAAGCAAAGTTAATTAATTGATTAAAAACTAAAACTAAAGAAAAGGAAAAGTCATATCGATATGAAAGCAAGGCAGAAAGCAGGATCAGCGGGAACTGCTGTGTTCTCCATGGCTCCGGGGTAACCATGAAGCTGACTGGCTTTTACAGCCAGCCTAGGACTCCTTTAGCACTGGGCCTTTCAGGGTTTATGCTGTTCATTTATACCTTCTTAAAAATATACTTAGTCAGCAACTGGAAAGCGGGTCTCTAAAAATGTGGTATTAGCGAAGGAATTATTCATAGAACTCTCAAATGCCTCCAGATTGGCCCAGCGATGGAGTAAGTCTTCCTTGAAGAAACGGAGACTTTGAACAGAATTTCTGCAAGGAAATAGCTTCCACAGAATGATCGCTCCTAATAAAAGTCACTGGAGGAAGGGAGACATTTCCCAAACCAGCACAGAATTGAAGTTTCCTGAGATTGTTTTTAAAGATCTGAACGCTTTTACTAATATAAAGAATTTTAGAGATGGAGACTCAGGGCATCTACAGGCAATGCTTGCCTCCTTCCTGTAACCTGGTGGGCTGTTCGTACTCAGGAGCTGACTTTATGAAACCTATTGGGTAACAAAGGGTCCTTCTTTCGAACGTCTCAGCCTGCCAGCCTTCCATCTTTCTCATCCTCATTTCTTTGCTGTTTTGTATGAAATAATAACCTCCACTCACAGTAAGCCAGACTGCCACATTGACTTTGTGACCAAATCGAATCAAATAACTCAGGTTTATGCTCATAATGCTTTAACTTACTTTGCCTCGGCTTTCAATTCCACAGTTATACATTCTGATTCCTATTTATTAAGGCTGTGTAAGAGGAAGACCTGGGGATTCTAATGGTCTTAAAAAATGTAATGTAAGCATATCAGTGCTATCACAGGCGTATTTATTTAGGCCTGTGGGAAACCCTGCTGGTTCAGATTGCTTCCCCAAGTCATCCTGGGGAAAGAAAATCCTTTGTGTTGACAATATGATTTAACTGGGTGTTTAAAATCATTGTCACCTGATGTTCCAATATTCTGTGTTTCATTTTGTGCTTAGAGATGTGTGTGTGTGTGTGTGTGTGTGTGTGTGTGTGTGTGTGTGTGTATATGTACACACCACATACTCATGTTGGGGGTGTACACCTATGTTTGAATATCCTAGATATCAGAGGAGGACATTGACCATCATGGACACTCTTTGCTTTCTGATTTGAGACAGGATCTCTTACTGAGCCTGGAGCTAGCCCAGTGACTGCCCAGCCCAGTGTTCTTCTTGTTTCTGGTCCCTACAGCACCTGAGTTATAGGTGTGTAGGGATCATGGCCATCCTTTAACGGTTTGCTGGGGATTTGAACTCAAGTTCTCATGTTTGGCCAGCAAGTTGCTTTTACCTGTTGAGCCATCATACCAATCCCAAGATGCCTCCTTTTGTTTGCTTAAACTTTAGTTTGCTAACTCTCCGCCCCTTTTCTGAGAATTTTGAAAATACTTTGGAATAAATTTCTGCCGTCTATGCTACTATACTAGAGCCATTGACAAAGCAGTGGGAAGATCATATTTATCAAACCAGGACATGGCCCGGTGAGACTGGACACTGGCCATGGCTCGGTGCAGGGGCCTGGGACCTATGGTGCAGATGATTATCTAACCTTAGGTGCTGGGTGGTAGGTGAGACAAGAGGCTAGGGTGGAGATCGACAGCCAGACATCCGCCAATGAGAGAGTAGTCTGATACTTTAACAGTATCCTGCAGGACCTGGCTAGCTCACCAAATAGCAGCATCTTGTCCTGCAGAGATTATTTGTGACATTATTTTAGGGGTTGATAGAATCAGACATCTTGATGGTGTAGAATTACCATGGTTCTGCCAAGTTTGCAGGACCTGTGAATCTTCTGGGTGTTTGACCGAGGAGGCAAGAGAGACAGAGATGAGCGTTTCTATCGTCTGGAGAGTCTTGTCCATTTGACTGTGGTCATCTGAATGGGCAGGATCCTCATCTGGGCCCTTTGCAGCACAAATGTGAATCAATGGAAGAGCTGTAGAAGAGGTGTTGGAGGCTTGGGCTTTGGTTAGTTGGTATATGAAATATATACCCCCAAGCTAATCGCTTACAGTCTTCAGAAATATAGCCCCCCCCAGGGGGGTAGTTTCTGCAGGGTAAGCATTTTCCCAGCTGTCAGAGGATCAGAGGTAGAGAAAATAAAAACACATAATTAATGCTCAGCAACAGTGGAAGACACTGTGCCGTCTAAGGAGCTCTCCCCGCAGGCTTTTACTCAGGTGTGGCTGGGATCACGACTTAACAGTACAGAAGCTAATTGCAGGATGAGTCAGTATGAAGCATTGAGTTCATTTAGGAAGAGATAGTACATGTTTAGATTTTGGCATGGGTGGAGAGAGGGAGGGAGAGGGACGGAGTCAGGGAGGGAAGAAGAGGCATCCAAGTTTTATAACTAGCTCTATATATGATTATGTAGCTTTTGAAGTTACTTCTTTCAAAGGGGATAATTTACAACCAGGTTCAAAGATTAAGCAGAGTCTAAACCGTAAGTAAAAATGAGTATGAGCTGGTTTCCTTTTGCAAATGGAATTCCAGTGTGGTTTGCTGGGCGCATTGTTCAGGCTTAGGGATGAGAGAGGAATGAAGGAAAGGTTCTATCCGAAGGTCCCCCGTGCTGCAGCCTTCCACGTGGTTTCTCTGCCTCTCTGACTTTGACTGAGACATCTCTCAGAACAGGGATCCCTGTCTCT